CACCCATCCAAACCTCTTATTTATGGGTGGTCTTTGAGTTGATCCTTGGAACCACACATCCAAACCTCTTATTTATAGGCTGCCCTTAAGCTGATCCTTGGAAGAGCCAATCGGAATCAAATTTTAAATTGATTGGCGTTAGAGAACCACCTTCTACTCTAGCAAGGCGTCAAGGCAGCCATGGTCCATGGAAGAGCCACTCAGCTGGGCTCTTTCCTTACAGAATCATGACTCCTCATCTCCAGAAGCGAAGAAAAAAATTGTGGTCTCAGCTTTCTGGAGTGACCTGGGCTGGGGAAAGAGGATTCAGAACTAGAATGTAAGCACACACCATCTCATCACGAAGAAAACGTGCAGATCTCCCTGGCTGGGAAAAATGTCTTCAGTGTTCACTGAGACTAAAATCCTGGAAGATATGAGCTCCAGGTGACCTGTCTCAAAGGCTGGGGACACCAGGTGCCTCCAAGTTTCAAACCAATCTAGCCTCCTGGCTTCCACAGGTCTTCCAGAACCCAGAATTGTCCTGGTCTCTGGTGAATTTGCACCCTTGCTTTCCCAACTGGAGTACAGGAGGTTGTCTGAATGCACGTAGGTCAACAAAAGCAACGGAGCTGCTTCCTACCAGGCTTGCCAATCACGTCCAGAAGATACTTCTTCATTTCACGAAGCCTGGTCTGTATCTTGTTGAGCTTACTGGCGATGCTCTCGGGCCGGCACCTTCCTGGAACAAGGCAGAGTTCACAGGAATTCTCGGTTTAGCCCCACATTTGCCAACCATGTAAAGTATTATTATTATTGATTTCAAATTATTGGCCGCCCAACTCCAGTGGACTCCAATGTAACGCAGATCGGATCCTCTCCCCAAGGAGATTAGGGTCTGAACGTTGGCTGTACAAAAAATGCCAAGGGGAAGGAAAGGTTGAACAGCAACTAGGATCCTTCGGTCCTGCTGAGCTCAAGCCCTGCACTGTTTTAATTGTGGTTTGTTTGGCCTGGTTCATTGGTAACACTAAGCCATGAATCATGGTTTACCCATCACACAGACGAGGGATGCATCTCAGTCAAGTTAAGCTTTCCTCTCACTGCTTTGGAATAAGGACTCCATACACGGCCCCACTCCAACAGGGAACGTGGGTCTGTATCCTCGGGCATCAGCCGCCAAACTCCCGCTGCCGAGCCAATGAGCCCCATGGCTTTTGCAACCCTTTCAACAAGCCTATATTAACCCCAGTTCCCCTTCCTGTGATTCTGGGAAAGCTAGGAAGCAGCTCCCTGGGAGGTTGGGTTGAGCAACAGAGGGGCCTCAAGAGTAAAGGTCTGCTTAGGAGGAGAAGGTGATAAGCCAGAGGCTATATAAAGCCTTTAATTTCCTCTGGCTGAATTTAGCAAGAATTTTCTTTTCCATCCAGGAGCAGTTGGGTTTAATCCTACAGTTCCCCCATCCTGGTTCCCATCTTGGATCCAGGCCCTGGGAGGTCCTCCTGAAGTTGGCTTACACGTCCTACCCTGCTCCCCTTGGTGATTCCTCCTACCTTCCACCAGCTGAAGTGAGAAAGACGCTTTGACCACCCTGTCATTGAGAGGCTGGATCTGGCGGTAGTCGTTCCTCAGAGTCTGGTTCTTCCAGTCGAGCAACGTGTTTTCCAGCAGATTAATCTGCAAAGGAGCAAACGGTTCCTTTGAGAAAAAAAAAAGACCAGGGAGCTGCAATCCGAGGACGCAAGAGAGTAAGTGGAATGCTGCGCCGAAGGACACAGAACGGGGCCCACATTTGTGCCAAAAAGTGTGTTTGGGGCCAAAGGATCTGAGCCCAGCCCTCCTTTGCCCAAAGCTGATGGCCAGCAGGGTTATTCGAAGGGTTTCTGCGAGGCTGATGCAAAGAAGAGAGTTGCAGGAGGGAGAGAAAATAAAAGGAGATGAACAGAAGCATGTTCAGAGGCATTATAATAATAGTAATTAATTTTGAATTTATTAGCCACCCAATTCCAATGGACTCCAATTGGGCGTAAAGACGAGGAGGACTTCAGGATACCAACGTTTTTGCAAAATGAAACCCACCATCCTTAAAGAGCTATCAGTTGGTGCTGGGGGCGAGTTCGTTCTTTTAAAAATGCAAAAAAGAGCAAAGCAAAACCCGCACAGGAAAAGGACCCTAAGCAAAACTTAAAAAAATTAAAACAATTAAAAGTAAAAATTTAAGACACCAGTTAAAAATGTGTAACGTAAAACTGTAGAATTAAGGTTAACGTACAAGTTTCATTGTCGGGGTATTGTTAAAAGACAACGGCTGGGGGGGGGGAATCAAACTGCTTTCTGCCTCTAAATCAACATTTATTTTCCTCTCTGATGAGGTTTAATCCCAGGTTATGTGCTTAGTCTGAAAATATCTAAAGAAAACAGCTAAGCTCTAACTAAGCTACTTTCATGTGGCTTGTTTGTTTTGGGGTGGGTTGTCTGAACTGAGCTACTGCGGCTTGAAAAGTAGAGTCAGCATGGTTTGAAAGCTAGACCAATTGTGTTATTCGACAAACCATGGTTTAGTGCAGTGTGCAGATCCAAACCTTGGCTTAATGCAATGTGCAGATCCAACTTGTGGTTTAATGCAATATTAGATCCAAATTGTGGTTTAATGCAATGTGCAGATCCAAATTGTGGTGTGATGCAATATGTAGATCAAACCATGGTTTAATGCAGTATAGCTCTAAATCATGGTTTAATACAATCATGGACAGTATGGGGGAGCAAAAGAGAAACATCTCCTTGCCTGGGTGTAGGAGAGCTTGATGGGCGAGTCAAAGACGGTCCAGATCACGTTCTCTGTACATGGTGGGGTAGTCAACGAACCATGATAGCGGTAGAAATTGGAGAGGTTGTCTGGCAACATGGCCAAGATATCCAGACTATGGAGGATGGTTGATTCCCCTAAAAGAGAAAATCCCCCTCGTGTACAACGGTCTTGTAAAGTAGGCCGCAGTCAGATTAAGGAACACCGATGGGTCTAAATCAGGAATTTTCTAAACTCTGCCATTAAGCTGGGGCGGTTGGGAAAAAAGAAGAAAAAGAAAGCAATAGGGGGGTGTCTTCTAAACCTGGTGCCCTTCGCAGGGGGGAGAGTGGCCAAAAGGCCCAGCTGGTTGGGAACACTGGGCTTTGTAGTCCCAGCAGACACCAGGCTGCATTGAGCGATGTGCGAACCGGGCATTTCCCCCTGGTGATTTTTGCAATGCCTGTCTCCCCACTTTGCGGGGGCCCAATATTGCAAGTCGCTCCTTGGTTGGCCAAACAAACTATTTATTTATTTCCCCTCTGTGGACTGAGCAGCTTTGGTGCCCTCTGGACTTCTTCTCCCATCAGCCCCGACCCGCACAGGCAATGGCAAGGAATTGTGGGACCTGGAGTCAGGAGCAACTGGTTGGTGGGGGGGCTCATTTGCATTTCTGCATCAGCAAAAGGGAAGCCCCCCCCCAAGCCTTACCTGCAAACTTAACTTTGTCCAATTTGGTAATGAAGTCGCTGTAGTAAGTGTTCTCAAAATGGGTGCCCTGAAAACAAAGCAAAAAAAATTAAAATGGTGATTATGAACAAACTGCCTACGTGGCCCGACTCCCAGCGACGTGAGAAATGGTTCGTGCCCAGCTTCGCTGATCCTGGAGAAAAAAAGTGGGGTTCGGTTTTGTTCTGGGATGGGAGACCACCAGGAAGGCAACACTGCGGGTGAAACTCGCAAGTCGAACATCCCAGAAGAACGGCCATCAGGAATGAATGCAACGCGAGGGAGAAACACACACACGTTTTTGCTTCTCTCCACTTATTTCCTTTTAATTTTAACGTCCCTATTTGCCCTGAGAAAAATCAGACCGTTTCGGGCGTCTAGTTCCCTTTCATCTGGTGCCCTCTAGTGTTTGGTTCAGGATTATGAACTACGATGCGCTCTCCCCTTTCCCCCTCTTTGAAATCCCCCAAAGGGCTTGTTTTAAACTCAAACACTCCATTTTCGACCTTAAACGTGACCCTATATGGCCATCAGAAGCAGGCAGGGCCGGTCCTAGCCTTAAGCAGTTGATCGTCAGAACGGGTCCAATTATTGTCTTTTTATCGAAAGGGAGAAAAAAAGGGAATCTGAGGTTTTTCAGCTTCTGGATCAAAGCAAAATAATTCGTCCCGTTTGGGTTGGGGTGTCTCTGAATCTGATGTGAGCAAGGCTGTTTGGGGTCCCACCTCGGGGAAAACAAATATTGGGTGGTTTTACCTTGTTTTGGGTGCTTAATTTAATTTATATTATTTCTACCTTTTCAAGTACAGTACCTCGATTTCTGGCCACTGGAGAGCGTTTTGAATCAAAAGGGGAGTGCAGTGACTCACGCAGAGACACCACGGCCTGTCTAGCACTCTTAGGCCCAGAGTTGGTTTTCACATCTGCAAAACCCCACTTTTCTTGTTAAGCCTTTAAGGGAAGCTCTGATTCCTTGGCTGTTTGTAAACCATGGTTATGGCTTAGCTTATATCTGAAGGTTTGCTTTTTGCCCCTGGTGATGGATGTAGCTTTCTCTCCACGCTGTTAATTTCCATCCTCAACAACAACCCTGTGAGGTAGGCTTAGGCGGAGAGAGAGAGAGAGAGAATCTGGGACGCAGCTATCTTGTGGTTGAATGCAGAACTGAATTGAGGTTTCTTGGATCTTAGCTTGACACCGTGAACCCCATTAGACCACTTCTTGTTAATCTTAAAGCAATAACAAACCACAGAGAATCCTTGATTAGAACTCAAGGCTAAGCCACAAGGTGGTTTGTTATGCTCTGGGTTAGGGGGTGGCTGGAACCCAGCTGCTCTCTCTTAAAGACCATGATTTAGGGTTGAGCAAAGCTGGCTTAAACAAGCTAAGATGGGAACCTAACTGTAATGGATCACATTTGGGGGCCAGGAGGAAATGAAGGAGCTGATTGAGGTTTTGGAGAGGTGCAGATACACACAGCCCATTCCTCTCTGCCAGAGGCAAACAGCTGGAAGGATGAGCGGAATTTTGAGTTAGCAATTTTCTATCTGCACAACAATAATTTGGAAATTACATCAGCTGCAAGGGGCAACAGACAATCATTGTTAGCCTCTGTCGCTGGAGCGATCCTTTTGTTAACCGGATGAAGGCTGAATGGTCCAGGAGGGCCAGAGGATGGGGGATAACCTCTGGGAAATTGCTTCTTGGGCCAGCGATTGTCCCCGGAGGTTTGCAAGAAAAAATCACCACCTTGCTTGCAGATCAAAGGAATGGGCTAATAAGGACCCCGGCCGGTTCCTAGTGTCGATTCCACCGGAAGGGGCTTGTTGCAAAAACAGGGAAATAACACAAAAATCAGGAGTCTAGTAGCACCTTTCCGGACTAACACGTTTCATGCAAAGGCATCGGCTTTTGTGATGCCTTTCATCAAATTTGAGAGTCAGAAAAGGCGCTCCCAGATTCCTTTTGACGCTTCGGCCCCACGGACTAACACCGTTCTCTTCCTACAGTGATGGGACAATACCAAAGGACAGATACTTTCAGAGACTATGTTTGGGTGTAAATCCTGTTTTTTTTAAAAAATGTGCTGTTTCTTTAATAAGGAAAGAGACGAGACGAGTGCAAAATTTGTTCCTCAAAGACTTGGGTTGGAACCTTGTTTTGAACCCCAAGATGCAGGGCACAGGCTGGAGACAAGCGAAGTTTCCCCAGGACCATAATAATAATAATAATGATGACGATGCACAACTCTGGGACTCTTCTAGTTGTAATTTGGAGTAGGACCACAAGGGGAAATGATGGAGTGTATGGGGTCTTTAATGAACTATTGCGGTGGGACAGAAGCCAAGGTCAGATCTGGCTCAGTCCCACCGAGCTGGGCTGGGCCGCCGAGTTGCCCACCCGACCCCAGAGACTCTCTCCTCGCACCTACGGTTGTAGAGCTCCTTACCACAAAGAGAAAAGCCAGCACGGCCAGCCCGTCGGGTTTATCCTTCGCTTCTTCAAAACTGGAGTAAGCTTCTGAGTTGTAATGGACGATGTGGAGCTGCGAGAAAGAACGGTGGTGAAAAAGTGGCATGGGGGACCAACCGGTAGGGAAGACCTCCCTCAAACGCAAGCGGCTTTGGCTGACCAATTCTTAGTTCTCCCACAACTGCAAACAGCTGTTTGTATTAAGATGACAACGTCCCCCTTTTTTCCCCTCCTTCCCCAGGCTCGTAATTCCAGGCAGAAGCGGGGCGGCCTACCTCGGCCATGTATCGCATCCCATCGATGGTGTGTTCGGATCCGCTGCTCTCGAGATCCATGCCTCCCCAGTGAAGGTGCAGCTGGATAGCTGTGAATTTCCCAGGAAGGCCTTTCATGATGATCATGGATGAAGGCAGTTGTATGACAACTGGAAAATAACATCAAAACGGGTATCAGGCACCTTGCCAATATTTCCAAGAGCTTTCTCATCCCCCACCCCATTGACAACCTGCCAGGATAAGATGGAAACAGGTTCAGGTCTGGCAACTTTTAAAGGATCCCTTATCTCAAAGCAGAACCCGTTTTCTTTTTAAAGAAAAGTCCTGAACTACATTATTTCCGGAAGAAGTTTTGCTCCCCAGTTCGCCGTTGGGTCAAAGCAGAAAAGCACTTTTCCTCTGCAGGTTGCGCCTCTCGGGGTCCAAAAACACCCCACCCCCCCATCCCAGCTACAGAAGCTGCAATTATTCCAAAAGTTGTATAATTAGAGCCCGGCCTGGGATAAATTGGGGCTGTTTGCATTTAGCGGTTTTAATGTGTTTTTGCAAAGCGTAAGGATGGGAGGAGGACGAAACTACAGTTGGAGCAATTCTCATTGGGCCAAACTTTCTCTCTGTGCAAAGATCATGCATTATTGCTGTCGACCTGATGGCTGCCCCAAACCCATCATCCTGGCCTTTCTCGGCAGCACCAGCTTGAGAAACGCTGACCTGGATTGTCAGAAGGCGCCCAAGTGTGAAAGTGGGCTTGTATGACCTGACGTGGCCCTCTATTTTTTGCTATAGTCCTCCCCACCGTCCCTGTTGTTCGTAACATTAAAACCATCTTAGTTTCCCCCCCACATTTTCAAAGATGGCAATTGTGCAATTCAAGATCCGAGTCCCTAGTCTGGCGGGCAGTCAAGGTAAGCGCGCTCTCTCCGAGGCACATTTCCAACAAGTGTGTGTTAATTGTAACGAAGCCTTCTTTTGCACTCTGCTGGGAAGTGTCACACCGGGTCCCCGAGGTCTTCTGCTCCCGTCTCGTTTTCCAGATTAGTGTCTGGGGAATTCTGGGAGTTGAAGTCCGCACATTTGGAAGTTGCCGAGGTTGAAAACACTGCCTTAGGGAATGGATTATGGGTTATAATGAACTGGGAACCTCAAATGTTTTCCCGGAGGGAGGGCAATGCCATCTGAAATTCTTTGTTTGCAAGAGGAGGTTTGTCTCCACGCTCCAGAAAGTCCTGGTTGGGGAAAACAAAGACAATGGTCCTGTGCTTTGAAAGGGATGGGTGCGTGTCAATAAGATTCCTCTATCAAGGAGATGAACCGAGACACCCATTAACCCATATTTGGGAAAATCAAATTGAGCTGAGCTCCTGATAACTTCCTGAATGCATCCATAGCCTTTCCCAATCAATTCAGTGGGAAAGCAGTTTATTCAAGTGCTCTTCCAAGTGCACTTCTGAGGTTTAGTTTAGAGCCCCCAGCCCTGGGACTTCTTAGTGGCCTCGCATCCAAGCCAGAGCCCTGGGACTTCTTAGTGGCCTCGCGTCCAAGCCGGAGCCCTGGGACTTCTTAGTGGCCTTGCATCCAAGCCGGAGCCGTGGGACTTCTTAGTGGCCTCCCGTCCAAGCCGGAGCCGTGGGACTTCTTAGTGGCCTCCCGTCCAAGCCGGAGCCGTGGGACTTCTTAGTGGCCTCCCGTCCAAGCCGGAGCCGTGGGACTTCTTAGTGGCCTCCCGTCCAAGCCGGAGCCGTGGGACTTCTTAGTGGCCTCCCGTCCAAGCCGGAGCCGTGGGACTTCTTAGTGGCCTCCCGTCCAAGCCGGAGCCGTGGGACTTCTTAGTGGCCTCCCGTCCAAGCCGGAGCCGTGGGACTTCTTAGTGGCCTCCCGTCCAAGCCGGAGCCGTGGGACTTCTTAGTGGCCTCCCGTCCAAGCCGGAGCCGTGGGACTTCTTAGTGGCCTCCCGTCCAAGCCGGAGCCGTGGGACTTCTTAGTGGCCTCCCGTCCAAGCCGGAGCCGTGGGACTTCTTAGTGGCCTCCCGTCCAAGCCGGAGCCGTGGGACTTCTTAGTGGCCTCCCGTCCAAGCCGGAGCCGTGGGACTTCTTAGTGGCCTCCCGTCCAAGCCGGAGCCGTGGGACTTCTTAGTGGCCTCCCGTCCAAGCCGGAGCCGTGGGACTTCTTAGTGGCCTCCCGTCCAAGCCGGAGCCGTGGGACTTCTTAGTGGCCTCCCGTCCAAGCCGGAGCCGTGGGACTTCTTAGTGGCCTCCCGTCCAAGCCGGAGCCGTGGGACTTCTTAGTGGCCTCCCGTCCAAGCCGGAGCCGTGGGACTTCTTAGTGGCCTCCCGTCCAAGCCGGAGCCGTGGGACTTCTTAGTGGCCTCCCGTCCAAGCCGGAGCCGTGGGACTTCTTAGTGGCCTCCCGTCCAAGCCGGAGCCGTGGGACTTCTTAGTGGCCTCCCGTCCAAGCCGGAGCCGTGGGACTTCTTAGTGGCCTCCCGTCCAAGCCGGAGCCGTGGGACTTCTTAGTGGCCTCCCGTCCAAGCCGGAGCCGTGGGACTTCTTAGTGGCCTCCCGTCCAAGCCGGAGCCGTGGGACTTCTTAGTGGCCTCCCGTCCAAGCCGGAGCCGTGGGACTTCTTAGTGGCCTCCCGTCCAAGCCGGAGCCGTGGGACTTCTTAGTGGCCTCCCGTCCAAGCCGGAGCCGTGGGACTTCTTAGTGGCCTCCCGTCCAAGCCGGAGCCGTGGGACTTCTTAGTGGCCTCCCGTCCAAGCCGGAGCCGTGGGACTTCTTAGTGGCCTCCCGTCCAAGCCGGAGCCGTGGGACTTCTTAGTGGCCTCCCGTCCAAGCCGGAGCCCTGGGACTTCTTAGTGGCCTTGCATCCAAGCCGGAGCCCTGGGACTTCTTAGTGGCCTCCCGTCCAAGCCGGAGCCGTGGGACTTCTTAGTGGCCTCCCATTCAAGCCGGAGCCCTGGGACTTCTTAGTGGCCTTGCATCCAAGCCGGAGCCGTGGGACTTCTTAGTGGCCTCCCGTCCAAGCTAGTTGTTTCTCTCTGCTGAAGGTCTGCCTACATATTTCCACACCAAACACACACTCTCAACCCTAACTCTCTCCCACTCCTTTTCTGTTCTGCTTTGAAAATAAGGCTTTCCTGCTTTTGCAGTATATCAGCGAGTTAAAAATACGGGCTCCCCGGGTGCCGTGCCTTTTGTAACCGTCACAAATTCTAGCAACATCGCCACGCCTGGGAGAATAAGATGATCCCTAGCGTGGGACCTTTCCTTTCGCCGTTATTTTTTTCACGTCTCGTGCATTTATACAAACCGCTGCCCTGTTTTCTGTTGTTTGCGGCCTGCCCGCCAGCTTTTGCGCTGGGTTGAGAAAAATCAGCACAAAATTAGCCAGATAGACGGTCGAAGGACATAAAGAAAACGATGACGAAGACAGAAATGAGAACAGATCAGGGCAGGAGGCTCATGCAATTAAAAAAAAGCCAGCCAGCCTACTTTGTTCACAAATAACATTCAGCTGATTTTTGATTTTTTTTTTTAAACGGGCATCTGATAAACACGGAGAGTCTCCTGCTTGGAGGTTAAACCTGGGCTCTTCTTTGTCGGCGTCTGCACCCCGGTTTTAATCTTGTTTTCCGACAGGTTTAAAATCCACTAAAAGGGCGTTACGTAGGACAGGGGCCACCACAGAAAAGCCCATCGCTTTTCCCGTTCGTTTATACCACAGCTTTGGCAGAGCTAACGCTGTGCAATATGGGTGGCTGGCATCTGAGACTTTAATGGACCGCAAAGTTATTTATTCAGGTTTTATGGCCTTCGGTGTTGCGTTTTAGCGTTCAAAGCCCGGGCAGCTGCGAGATCTGAGGGTGTATTTAAATGCATAAACCCTGTTGCTGGAAGCCATGAAATGAGAAAACAAGGTTTCCTTCTAAAAAAAAAAATATGGGTAGGTAGTGACATCCTGGCCTACTTTAAATGGTTGTTGTGAGGCTTATGGGAAAAAGTGCTTATTGTATTTCTTTAAAACCTGATTTCTAGATAGGGGCACCAATTAATCACTTGGATGGCAGAGAAAAACACTAAAGGCTTTTTTTTTTTGGTTAGAAAACAAATCTTGTTTGCAAGCTTTTTAATCACGAGATTTCTGGATTCCCCCCTCCTGCCACTCATATTCACCTGAATGGCCGTTGTTGGTCATCCTGAAATTGTCGTGGCGGTGGCCGTAACCGTGGAGCTCCAGCAGTTCCAGATCTGGATTAAATTTGGCTTTCGACCTCTGGATGTTGATGGGGGATTGCAGTTTCCCCAGGCAGTTTTCAAAGTACCTTCCCCAGTGCTCTTCATCGCGTTCCCCTTGGGCCGAGGGAGAGAAATGCCGTCAGATGAGGCGTAGCACAGAAGCTACAGACTTGTTTTGAGTCCCCCAAGCAAGCGTTACAGCTTCCAGACTGCCTCACAGGTCAGTAGAAAGAAGCTGGTTGATTGGAGTGGGAAAGGGATGACATGAAAGGAAAGGGGGAGGAGGAGGGAAGAGGAAAAGGAACCGACGGATGAGTCCTCTCCCCCTCCCCTGAAGTTTGCGTTTAGAATTTTAATCAGCCAGCTTCTTGTTTTGAAAACGCTGTAGCAGATTCATGCCCGCCTACGACGATCTCTTCCCCATCCTTGCTAAACAAAATCAGCCCTGTAGGACGAAACCCTACAAATGGGTCAGTTTGGAATGATTTTGGCTGGGGGAAAAGTGGCAAAGAAGGACATTTTGGGATCCTTTTTGGTCCCTCCAGGGATCTCTTGCTAAGTGCCCCTTCTCAGCTATAATGCATGTCTTTTTTTGGCCTGCAAATCGTTGAAATCATTCTTCGGCCTCTTAAGTGCTCCGTTTCCCCCCACCCCGTCCACGTTCTCAGCTCAGTTTGCAATGGATCCAAAAATCTTTCTTGGCTCCTTCCTTGGTTTTTGGCATAACTCCTGCTTTGCCATCAGGAGAGAAAGCTATCGATTGATCCCTTTTAGAGGGCACCTTTTTTCTAAACGGAGGAGCGACGCCAGAACAAAATACCTCCGAGGAGCCTCCGGAGGGAGGAAAACTCTCCCCCCTCCAAGCTTTTTGCCCCTTTCCTTTTAAAAAAAATTAAAGGCAGATTCAACCTTCTTCCACACTTGGGACAAAGGTGGGCCAACCTTTGGCTGGCATTATATTTAAGTCTGGAAAAGAGACTTCCTGCACCGGACAAAGCAAAGTTTATCCTATTTTCTCTCTCTCTCTCTCTCAAAAAAGAGCTCAGCCCCGCCTCTGTTGCAAAGCACCCTTTTTTATTCGCACGACAACCCTGCGAGGTAGATCAGGGGAGGCAGAAAGAGAACACCAAGTGACCAGCACGAGCTTGCCCTTTTAGCTTCCTGGTTGACCGGGAATGTCTATCCAAATTTTTCCATCCCTTTGTTCAAAACAGGATCTCCGCCTTGGGAGGCCTGCCAAGAATTCGGGCATCTGAAGATTCCCAAAGAGATCCCAACATTCGTCCTACGACAGCTGCCTCTGTGATTTTGGGAGAGGTGAGAAAGGTGTATAATTGGGCAGGCGGGGGGGGATCTACCTGGTTTGAAAGGTGTGCAAACATCCAGGTTTGGTCAAAAGAGCTTCAGTGGGTGCTGCAGACTGGCATGGCTCTGGGGACGTGCCCAGGTGAGCCAACAAGATGCTGAAGCCCATCTGTAGGTCTTATCCCCCTCTGTCCCTTAAGGTGGCATGCTGGCTGGGGAATTCTGGGAGTTGAAGTCCACTCATCTTAAAGTGGCCAAGTTTGGACAACACTGCCCTAAACCCTTCCCAGCCGGAAAGCTGAGCCTTAGACAATTTAAGGGAATTAGGATCAATTTTCTAAAATAAAGTGCTGGGAGCCCCAGGAACTTCATTTTCCCTCTAACTGTGGGTCAAGAGAACAGCTGCCAGCTGTTCTTCAAGGGATCAACAGGAGAGTTCACATATTCTCGTGATTTGCAAATGGGACCTACAACACCACAAGGCCGCTGAGTGCTGAGCCCCTAATTTCCCCCAAACTGCTACCCTTAAGCCCTGTTTGTATTACGATGCCCCAATTTCCTGGCTGGGGTGGCCGGCGTCACCAGGATTACAGCCCAGCCAGGGTGAGGAATGGTTAGACGGGGGAGGTGGGATTCAGCTGACTTTTTTTTTAAAAATAAAACGTATTTTTACAGAGACGATAAAAACGAACAAAAAATCCAAGGGAAAGGAAGAAAGGAAAGGGAAAAAAGAGGAAGAAAGGAAAGGACAAAGGTGCAGAAAGGAATCAGAAAGAGGAAACTTTGCAGCAAATACAAACGTGAGTCCAAAATTATCTCTTATTCTAGGGTTACCCAAAAAACTCTCTTTTCTATTGTCTAATATTTTCTAACCATCAAAACCACAAATCAAAAGTTCCTTTTTTTCTGTTTCATGCCAAAAGTCTATAAGGGGTGTGAGATTCAGCTGAAATTTAACCATTTTGTGCAGCCTGCTGTCGCAGGCCACCCTTAAAAGCACAAGGCGCTTCTGCTCCTAGGTCCGATCTTTCTTTCCTCCTTACCGTTATACGTCCACTGTAAGACGCGGGCAGAACTCAGGTGCAGAAAGCAGAGTTGGAGCACCCAGCCGCTAGTCCTCATGGTTCTCTGGAGTCAAACCCGAAGAGGGAGATCCTCCGGTTTTCTCCTCCGCGTCTCCGGAAAGGTAAATAATAATTTTCTTAAATCCAGCCGCCTTTCTCCTGCTGAAACGAGAACAAATATCATCAGCCTATTTTCCCCTGCCAGATGAGAAAGTTAATTATATTGTTGATCTGGGAGAGGCTGCAAAGTTTCTAACGGACCCACCGAAAAGACACCCAACAGCCGAGGAGGGATTATAAGGCGAAGCACGCTAAGGTGGGGTCCGGCTGTTTTTTTCCTGGGGGTAAGTCTGCCACCGCCTTCTCCTCCTCCAATGCACGCTGATGGGCATTAATGTTTCATGCACCTTGGAGGCCATGGAATTACAGGGACGGTGCAGCGTGCCAAGCTTGACTTAAGTTTGCAGAAGCCCAACGCTGCCCTTGCGCTCTGCTGAAGGTAAGTGGGAGGAATTTAGCAATCAGAAGCAGATGCATTTGAGAAATTAGATGATGTAGGTTTTGGAAAATGGAAGCATCTGGGCTCTTATGGGGAAATCTGGCCCCGCGCCCCCCTTGAGAGATGCATCATCGGCCTGGCTTGAAAGGCTCGATTCTGGAAAATCTGAAAAACAAGCATAGACCGCTTGGGGTGCCCTACTCTTCTTATTAAGAGATTTCCCCTTTATGGCAGGGTTTCTCAAGCTTGGCACCTTGAAGATGGGTGGACTTCAACTCCCAAGGAGTCCCTGGGAGGCTGGGGAATCCTGGGAGTTGAAGCCCACCCATC